ACTGTGCCCACCTTGCTTTTGTGCCATCACAAGTGTCCCAAAAGCAGAGACTCCCAAACTCCCCTCTGCACAGATTGACATTGCCCTAGGAGGTGTTTTTTCTTCCTTTTATTATCTGCTGGGATCCAAACTCGTTGGGTTTCTGAAACCCAAAATAATGCATTGACCCATCCTGCCTGCAAGGGAGCCTGCTCGAAAGATCTCAGCCGGCGTGAAAGCATTAGCAGGTGATGGTGGCGAAGCCTCCCTGTTAGACTTTCTGTTCTTAGAGCATCCTTTTGCTTTTAGAAAGAAATCATAGATGAAGGGCAGACAGTTGTAGAGGATCTCCAAGGTAAATTTGCAAACCCCATTCCTTCTAGCATTTACGGTACGTAGAAATCCAAATCTAACCCAGAAATTAAACTAAATGGACGCTTAACTTTTCAACATCGTTAGGGATTAATTGTGAGCAGGTGCCAGACTTGACGTGCTGAGCAACACTGCCACAGATTGCTTCTGCCAGGAGTAAAGCTGGAGGAGAGACTTGTAACTCAGCTTAGTCCCTGCTCAGCTCTGCGCTCGCGCCCTGTAAAAACAGGCTGGTGAGAAATGGCCAGTCTGAGCCACAAATAAGCCTGAGGTGGAGTTTGCCCTTTGCTCGTATATAACCTTAGAGTTTTTGATGATTTTTGAAAAGCGTTTTGCTACCACTCATCGTCATCTTTCCCGGGGAGCACAGGAGTGTTTTGTAGGTGCTATGTAGAGGCAGGACCGTCTTTACCAAGATACTCATGTCTGGAGCAGGGACATGTGCATCCCCTCCTTAGGTTTAAACTTGCAGCACTGGGGTTGGAGTTCTCAATATCTCTAATTCATGAGGAAGCGGCTGTTTTCACCAAATATTTCTTGCTGGTGGCTGTCGAGCGTGATGTTCACTTAACAGGATGGAAATCCAGCTGCCGGTCGACGTGGTGTTTTACAAATCGCTTCAGAGAGTGATACCTTCATTTGGAGTCTGAGTTTATAGTAGTGTTGGGGTCCGAGCCTCAAAAATATACATGTAGATCTGAAGCACCCTGATGTTCAGGAGAAATCAAGATCAAAATGTGGCTTTTACCTGCCTGTGGGTCCATCAACCACCCCCGGCCGGCGAGAGCCAAGCAGCAGCATCCGTGAGTGAAACCAGAGAGGGTGCAAACCCACGGCCTCGCTGCTCTGCGGGTGTTTCGCTCTTCTCCGGAGCTGGCTCCTAAAACCCTGAAACTGCATGTTTTTCACGACGTCTAACGCACAGCTCACACCAGCGAACGTGTTTCTTGGCTCCTCAAGCCAGGCAGTAAAACTGCACTGCTTGGCAAACGAGCTGATGAGGGGAAACGAGAGGAAAGCCAAAAAAGCCAAGAAAAAAAGCCACCTTGCCCCTATGAGCTGGGTTAGGGAGCACGGAAAGGCGGCGGGGGCGCTGAGATGCCTTCCAGCCAGTGGATTTGGGCTGTGCCGGGTGGGTAGGACCTTCGGCATCACAAAGGTAAATTCCAGAAATAAATAAATCGTGAAGGGAAAGTGTAAGACTAGCGCCATTGGAACGACAGGGTCACTCTTTCACTGTTCTGGCTCATAGTCTTGGGGTTTTAGGATGTGGAGAGGTTTAGCTCTTCAAATCCCTTTGGGTTTGGAAGAGTTTGGGGAGCCTGACTCCTTCTCATAGCCCCTGAAATCTCCTCGGCATCCTCCTCAGGGCCAGGGAGCGCCCAGCGTGGAGCCGTTGGTGCCGCGATGAGCTCAGCCCTCGCCTCACACGTCAGGAGAGAAATTCCCCGAAGGAGCCGGAGCGGTGAAGCCTTGGGCTTGCCAGTTCTTCACCGCCACCCGTCCTCCTCCCGCGGAGGTTTGGCAGCGGGCTGAAATTAGGTCTACCCCGGGTTGTTTTTCAGC